TTCTTATAATTACATCTTTACTTCTTTTTTTGGCGTCGACATAATCATTTCAATCAATGAGAAAAACAAAATTTAGGCAAAAACCACGATGATTATGTCGACGCCAAAAAAAGAAGTAAAGATGTAATTATAAGGAACCCGCTGTCGGATTCATCGACAAATTTTGCATTTGGCGCCCAATTTTTATTCAATTTGGTTCAGCGCGGAGCAAGCACCATTTTCTAATGAATCGCATCAGACTGAAATTTTATTTCGTTTAACCATTTTTTAATATAAGGTGGAATTTGTATCAATTTCATTCGAAACCCTTCCGCATGCAAGGGTTCTTTGTCAACCAGGCTCAAATCGTTCATTCGTAAGTGTTTCACATTCATCAATTCCAATAGCTGATTCAATTTCGGATGATTTTTGTTTGCGAAATCAAGTTTGAGACAGGGAATTGTGTGATTAAAACTACTGTTTTCGCTGTCACTCTCCATATAGACAAATAATGCACTGCCTAATTTCCATTGATTATTTTCAGTTAATAAATATAGTGTTTTTGATTGTTCTCGTACCAGACGTTGTTCCTCTGATGACAAAGAAGAAATAGATTCCAACAGATGAGAATATATTTTCTGTATACAGATTGAAAACTGGCTTTATTCCTTGGATTCAGAACTTCTAAAAGATGAAAATTTTTGTCTAGAACTTTGAATATGCTCAAAAAAAGCGTATTGAAAATGTAATAAGATTTGGAAAAGATTAATAATTCTTGATTTCAATTTATTCTATATAAATTTATGAAATTAAATAAATTATTTACAGAACTCCTGTACCTCAAGCTTCGTATTTTCTTTCAACTGCTCCCTCCTAGTTTTAGTTCCACTTTTTAGATGAAAGTTAAAGTGAATCAGGGTTTTCAGATTCGAGTCTACTATCAGCAACAGAGTAAACGAGATGATGTGATGCTGATTACCTTTTGAAAAAGTAGCATCTCTAAGTACCGTGTAACAATGGCTGGAGCACATAACCAATGTATAAACAAAACATTTCAAGTGGGTTTATATGGAGTTTCCAGATGAGTCTCTGTAAAGCTACCTCGAAGACCGAAGAACGATGTCATGGATTTTTTAATTCTACGAGTGGAGTCGAGCCAAAAAATCTGCTCTACAATTCAAGATAACTTCCATGTTTGTCTAACCAGTTTTTCAGCCTTACGATTGTGTTTCCGTCAAAAAGATGGATTCCCAGATTCTCGATCATACTTATCATATGGAGTCGAAATAGATTTGGCTGGAGTTTTTTTGCAGAGGAGTTGAAGAAAACTCTTTTTTTCAAGTTACTTATTAGCATAAGGACATGATTAATTGGGAAATATCTCTGCTCAGGTCTTTTCCATTACCGAGATAAGAGGCATTATTTCCTAAAAACTGGCTCTTATTTATTGCTTCAAAGGCAAGATTTTTTGGTGAAATTGATTATTTAGGCAGCTGTAGCTTTGTACTTAGATTCTCTGGCAGTTGTAATTTTATAAAAACGTCTTCCATGGGCGGCGAGAGCGCGCAAATTTTCTAAATTTTGGATTTTTTCTTTTAACCATGTCGGACTTCTGATTTTTTTCACGATTTCTACCAATGAAAAGTAAGCTCGCACCTAGCAACATGTCTCTATACTGTACTCGAGCTACTTATGGTTATTTTATTCATAAAGAGTCGGCATGAAAGGTAGTTATTTTACGGATAATGCCGCCTATCTCGGTAACGGAAAAGATCTGAGCAGAGATATTTTTGAATTAGTCATGTCCTTATGCTAATAAGTAACTTGCAAAAAAGATTTTTCTTCAACTCGTCTGCAAAAAATCTCCAGCCAAATCTATTTCAACTCCATACTTATCATCGTGCTAATGCTTTGTTTTCAATTAAAGCCTACACAAGCTCGATGGTACATTTTTTGTACAAGACTTGGAGTTTTCAGTATCTGCCGAAGATCCTGTGTTTTTTTTTTATTTATAATGTGTAATGCCTGCATATAAAGTAGATTTCGGACTAATATACAAGTTTTAGCTAGTTTTCGTTGTTTTTGAATGAAATGAAAATCCGACTACGGTAATTTTGGTACCTGAGGCTTAGCGTTCGAAAGCAACGGCGGACAAATCTGGGAGTTACCTCGAATTGTAGAGAAATGTTTTTGGCTCGATTCCACCGTCGTGCCAATGTGGTGGGGGAGATAAGCCGTTTCATGCTTATTTGGTAAAATACTTCAGATATGCTCTGTGATGAGCTTGAGGCGCCTTCACACACACATACATAATTCCAAAATGCTTAGAGATAGATCCTATACAATCTATTGGTGAACCTCGAATTGTAATTCTGCATGCGTCTATTCTACTAACTGTAAGAGAAGAAAAAGTTCCTGAGATGTGGAAATATTCAGACTTATAGATTAATTCATTTGTGGTGAAGAGTGAAAACATTTTTTTACCTGATGTTGGACCTAATGGAGCAATGTGTAATTCAGTTAAATTCAAAAATGTTTGATTAATCATATTGAAAAACTCTAATGGAAATGGTTTATATTCATCATATAAATGTATACGTTGGAAATATCCCTAAAATGATCTAAATAACATCCAACGTGAAACCTTTTATCATTTAACCAAAAATTATTTCTAAATGTTGAAATAATTTGTGTCGATGTTGTTGCTTCATTCATAGTATTTGGTATCATTGAACATGTTAGATAAAAATGAAATTGTTTTAAATTTTTCATATGAGATAAAAAGCTCATATATAAATAATCACCATTGATCAATGTAGTTCTACGCAAACGAAATGATAAATATGCCAAAAGCAATGCTCAAAAAGAATTTCAACGTTAGAATCGGGTTCAGCATGAAAAACTGAGTCGCATATATATTTAATCGAAAAGACATCATCCAATTAACATTTTTCTGAGAGGTATCGGGATCCGCAGGTGGTGAAATCTATTTTTATCAATACAAGATTTGTCTGCGTGGAAAGTGGAAGAGAACTGATTTCGTCCAAGAATTTCGTTCACTGTTTGCGGGCAAGTTTTTAAAATGGTTACCGGTAAAAGAAGTTCGAGCCCCTGCACGGCACGAAAGTCATAAATGGATATCAGATTCGAGATCTCCATGATTGGATTACCTTCACGTCACGTTTTTCGTCAAATTCTACCGGTAGTATGCGGCATTCAAGTCTATAGAAATAGTCTAAATTTCGAAAGGAATATCAAATTCTAGATCTCACCCTCAGAAATCTCTAGGATATATTTTAGAGGTCATCCACCGCAAATCTACATTTCCGATTTGCCGTACTTCATTTGCAAACATGTGCCCCACGGACAATTCATCAAGGAAACAAATAGTCACATATTTTTTCAGCGCAGGCCCTTCTCTTCAACAAAGAGAATATTTGCTAGAACGCGCAAAACTTGCAGTACTGGAATTGCGAGGAGTTAGGCTCTGAATTTGCGGAAGATTTTCACAAAATCTGTAAATAAAAGATTTTTGAAAGAGGAGAAAAAAAATTAAAATCCTAAAAAATCAGTATTTTGAGTTTAACAAAGCTTACCAAAAAACTTTGAAAATAGATCTTCAAAGATTCTTAAAAAGGTTTTAGAAAGAAGTTTTTGGGTTTTCGATAAACCGGTTTGTTTTCGGTTTTATCGAAAACCCAAAAACTTCTTTCTAAAACCTTTTTAAGAATCTTTTGGGTTTTCGATAAACCGGTTTTTTTAAATGTATGACAATGATGTACAAAAACCATTTTTTCTTTCTGCCAATATGCTAATCAAGTTAATTCAAATGTTCTGTTTTTGTTTTACATCGATTTTTCAAGACTAAAAGGCTGGTTCTGGAATCAGAAAGAATGGGATCCCTGGTTTGTTAAAATCCCTTACATCTAAATAAGGTCATGTTAGACATCGGCGACACTTGAGTTTCCTTGAATTGCTTCATTTATATCGACCTTTGAGAGGTTCCATGCGTGCTAGATGTTGCTGAAATTAAAGTTCTCCTCTTCGATTCAGTTTATCACGATGATTCCACGCCTGTCCTTTTCCTTTGTAATTGACAATCGCAGTGGACAGAAAAAACAAAACCTGTTCTCGAATTTGCAATGCTTTTGACTCTCTGAAGAAGTCCAGTTTTGCAGCACTCTCTACTCCCTTAAAGCTATGAGCTTTGTTCTTTCATTCTCTTTAGAGATTTTTAGACTATTTCGAGGAAAATGTCCGTCTCTGTTCGAACACCGACACCAAAAACAAAAGTTGTCCTGTCAGCCGTTACTTCGTTCGATTTCCTAGCAATATGTGAACTTGAGATCGAGGCTATGGCGAATGATCCTATTACGGACTTGATCACACCTGCCCATTTGCGCACTCCACACGATCTTCGACTTGTTCGAGTTGTAACGAGGTTACAAGAAGATCTTAACCATATGAGCAACATGGGAATCAAGGCTTGTCTAGAAGACACGGGCGAGATCGATTCCGGTTCTGATTTTCTCGATTCCTATTAGTCATCGATCATTCGCCGTCGTTGATTCCTGTTCTCATTCGGCGTTTCTTGTTCCTAATGCTTCTTGTTAAAGACCACCGAAACTAGTTGATAATAAATCTACAAAAAACGAACAAGAACTTTTCTTAATGCAATATCGAGAGATGTTTGCTAAAAAGGAATAGGTTTATTCAAATAAAACCAACTACTCTTTTTTCTGCACGGGTGGAATTGGTCGGAATTGATTGAACTTGTAATTGGAGTTGGAATTGGAATTTAAATTTACACTTAAGAGAGGGTCCATGATAATACCGCCCAATATCACCAACACGGGCATTTGAAAAAAATTTTAAATACAATCTTATTAGATGAAACGATAACTCGTGGTTGAAAACCTACCGATCCAAATTTTTAGTCCTTTCTGACTTACCCTTTCAGAGTTATACAGGCGACACTGATGATGTGTCATGATGGTTTAGGTCAAAATACCAAATTTTACATCTTCGCGGTATTTCGTCGATTTCTCCGAAACAGTTCTATCAATCTTCTACTATAATATCTCAAAAGATAGAGACTTTGTCGCTCTATCGAACTGTATATATAGCTACTTTCTACATGTTCTCCAAGACTGATGAGAATTAATACACTGGGTGATGGTCTCCCGAAAAACCGAGCCTGCGGACAGTATTTTACCAAAAGTGGATGAAGAGAGATACATACCATGTTTTTGACCTCAGATTCTGAAAGAGCGTGAAAAGCGCCATCGATTCATGTATATTTCATTTTGAAAACGGATCGGCTTGACATTTTATTTTTTATCAGACGGCTATATGCTTTTTTAATAAAAAGAGACACTTTTTGGTCTACTTCTGACTTAGATTTGACTAAGCGAAGTCAAAACAAAAGTCCAATACCAGATTCTTATCCAACGTGAAAAACTGAGTCGACTAGTCGACATCAAGGATTTCTAGAGAGTCTTATAGAGGCTAACAGGTGGTCGTACCATACATGTCCATGTCAGCATATCTCGAAATTTTGAAAATGAGTCCTGTACGCTGCCTGGAACTGTTATATCAAGCGGGTTCGTAGCTCGCTTTGTAAAGCTTTTCAAGCGCTACAATATGCGCTATTTGAGTTTTAATTTTGAGGGAACTAAGATGCCAAAAGTAGCTGTTTTATTACAAGATACCATTAACCCGTGAATGCCTCAAAATTCCAATATGCATATCTCTTCTAAACCTCGTTCGATCACTCTCAAACCTTTATCACAGACACGGTTTTAGCTGCTCTTTCTACTGGCAACCTAAAAATCAAAAAATGCTATGGTAACATATGCAAGGTTTTCTGGAGACTCTATGAAAAACCCTGGGATTTCGTGGCAACCAGTTTCCTATTTTGATCACCAGACAGCGTAGCCCACATCAAATTGGGGTGGCTGTGGAATTTTCAGCCTCTGGTGCCTTCTCGGTAACGAGATGTAGAGGTATCAAATTCTTATAAATCATCCATACTACACCACATGAATGCCCCCACTATTACGTTTTCTACGAAGCCAAAGAATAATCTTTTTTCATGAAATTTTCAAGGTAAGCCCAATTTGATGTGGGATACGCTGTCTGATGGTCAAAATAGCAAAAAAAGAGGAACACTGAGAGATATCCCATTGAATAGTGGGACATCGCTGTCCGCTAGGAATTCACGATTTCCGCTGGGAATAGGTCTCCTAGACCATAGAGGCATGTTCACACTCCATCAATTCGGACAAGGTTAGTGAGAATCTTTGTTATGTATCACCATTGACTTCAACAAGAAAACTTTCCTTTTTCACCGATAGGAAAAACCACAATATACTTAACAAAGCTTTTCGTTAAACTGGTCCATACAGATGTGGAGTGTGAACATGTCTCTATCTTTGGTGAAAAAACCAGCTGGTTTGCTAGAGGCGTAATGGAGATATTCAACTTTCTTTTCGATAAAGTGACTTTTGCACTATCCTGTATATTGCTTTCTTTCTATCTGTGAAAAAGTAAAATTTTCTTATTGAAGTCAATAGTGATACTTAACAAAGGTTCTCACTAACTTTGTCTGTACGGATTTGGAATGTGAACTGGTTCTATCCTTGGTGAAAACATGAGCCCGTTTGGTCTAGTCGTAATGGAGATGTTCACATTTTTCTAACTTTAGTGACTTTCAGGAGACTATAATTTTTCTTTCAGGAGTTTTTGACACAGGTCAAAACAATGTCGCTCCGCGGGAGTTCAAGCTTTTTTGAGAATGCTCTTGGTATTTCAATTCTTCTGTTCGAAGTATACGCTTCTTTTCTCGAAAAGGAAAAATCAGACAACCCAATTTGGCCCTAGGAGCCACAGAAAAAGTTTCAGCTCGATCGACTGAGTTAACGAAAAATGGTGGGGAGAATACTGAAGGTCATTTTTTAGCCCTTATGATCCGAATATCTCATAGAAGAAGGCATCCTAGAATATCGAGTCTGTGACAACTTTTGCTCTACTACACAAGATAGCTACCTTGAAACTTTCAGAATTTTTCGTTAAGTCGTTCTCGAGAAACCCCGGAAGGGGGAGTACCCTTAAATGGTAAAGCAACTGACCGGCTATCAGGAGATGATAGGATCGTACCCTAGCTCGAAATCGATGATTCTTCTTTTCAAATTATTCGTACTTGTTAAGATATATCATAGTGAATATTTATCAGTATCCTTGTTATACATAACATCCTGGACAAGTATCATGAAAGTACTTATTATGTTTTCTTTTAATTTTAAATCAAACTCACCCTCTGCAAAACATGTTTAAAAGTCGATAGAAGCTGCCAAGACGCAAATTCTCCAAAACGAAGGCCAAAATAATATTAGAATTCAAAACGTACGCAAACACAATGTCTATTTTCTGAATACTTTTCGGGCATCGAGGACGTACGTCGGCCTCTGGGGTTTATTGTGTCCATCGGTCGCAGCGAATGCACCTGTCACGAGTAGTCCGGAGTTATCATCACCCAAAATCTCTCAAATGGAGCCATCCTGATCAGCTCCTGTTCCAGCGTCATTCCAGATTTGTTTGCCGAAAACTCGGGGTCCACAAGCATGTTTGTGTACTGCTTTCATATCTCACTATGTCGTTAAAGAAACAGACGTTTCATTACTATCACTGTGAGGAACCTATACTTCTTCTGGTTATAAGTCCTTGAGTTGATTGTATGCGTGCGTTAAGATATGTAGTATCACTCTTTTATTCGACTACTCTTTATCACAAACTACAAAAAACTAGCATCACACAAGACAAATACTAATATATATATGTACTACTGCATGCACAAAAGATCAGAACCAAAAAAGAACAAAGCGACGAAAGAACAAAAACAGTCAAAGAACAGAACAGAACAAAAGAGAGTAGTCCTACTGAAAGAAGTACATACAGGACAGAGAGGTTGTGACAAAGAATCGTCACATACCAACAAAAAGTAATTAAACCGGAAACAGCTACAGTGCAAGATTAAAATACGATACAGAAAAAAAAGAAGGAGAAAGAACAAAAAAGTTTCGTGTATTGTAGGAGAACATATAATATAGAGGAGCAGTGGCCCTGACGTCGGACAAAGAAAGAGATACATAGAAAGAGATTCATAGAATTCAATTTCATATTTGTCCTGCAGAAAGAGAATTTGGGTAATTCGTGCTGGGAGCTTACGATGTTCCTTACCGATAAGGACAAAATCACCGAGTTCGAATGGCGCTTCTTCTTGTCCCTGTTCGAATGACATGTCCCAAAAGTGTACACTAGCGAAACAGTAAGGATGAGTATTGGAAGAAGGGCGGAGAAGAGAGGAGGAAACAATAAGTGGTTCAGAAATCGATGAACGATCAAGTGTAGGAGGGGGCAAAGGTACGGATGGATAATCATACATGGCCGAGCGCAGTGCAAGATGACTATCCTTTAAGGTTCGAGCCAAACGTTCTAACTGGTTTTTGGTAGCCAAGGAAGTAGAACCTATTTTCAACTGTAATGCATGGACTGCATGCTGAAGAAGTTCAATTTGATTCCCAATATGCTGGTTCTTACGGTCAATTTTTTCATTTTGTTCCTGCAAGACGAGATCGCCAAGTGTGAGGAACCGATACTTCTTCTAGTTATAAGTCGTTGAGTTGATTGTATGAGTGCGTCAGAACCGGGAGCTCAGAACCAAAAAAGAACAAAGCGTGGAAAGAACAAAAACAGACAAAGAACAGAACAGAACAAAAGAGAGTAGCCCTACCGAAAGAAGTACATACAGGACAGAGAGGTTGTGACAAAGACTCGTCACAATCACCTTAAGCATCTTCCTCTTCCTCAGCTCCAGCATGTCCATTCTCGTCATTGTTCTGACTAGGGCGCTTTTTCTCGCAAACTGCAGCTGTTACACCGCCTGCAGTGGCGCCAGCTGCAAGCCCCACACCCACGGAAGTTGATGTAGCTACTGTTCCAACAGCTCCAGCAGACTGATATAGAGCAGGACAGAGAGGTTGTGACAAAGACTCGTCACAATCACCTTGAGCATCTTCCTCTTCCTCAGCTTTAGCCTGTCCATTCTCGTCATTGTTCTGACTAGGACGCTTTTTCTCGCAAACTGCAGCTGTTACACCGCCTGCAGTGGCACCAGCCGCAAGCCCCACACCCACGGAAGTTGATGTAGCTACTGCTCCAACAGCTCCAGCAGACTGACATAGAGCGAAAACACTTCCCGATACGGTCGTTGCTGTTTGCATGGACGCTGCAAGACTACCAGCTGCCACTCCAGCTGATGTAAATCCGACTATACCTATGGCGGGTATTATGGCCAATGGAGCTACTACAGCAGTCGCCGAGCCAATGATGCATGCTTTTGTGACTGGAGAACTCTTTTCCCACTTGGTTCCAGCAGAACTTGCGGCAGTTTTAATAATATTACCAACTTTTTTTGATTGATTCACCATTGAAGATGTCAGATTTTTTCCTGTGTCGAAGATTTGCGATAGCATGTTTTCGTTCATCGACCACGATGCCATTTAGTGAATATACTGGAATAGAGAATATACGTTAAATATCAGTAGGAATACCAATAGCCAAAAATTAATATCTTAGGCTTGTTATTTGAAATGTAGGCCTGCAGGTTTTATTAAAGTAAGGATCTAAAACAGAGAAACTTGTCAGACCGTCGTGTCGTTGCTTCAATAATGAAAAAATTCTCTACTACATTTCTCTGGGATTTGTTTTATAGCTCAGGAATGTAAAACAGTGTGCTTAGATAGTCTGTTTTGTCGCAGTGTTACAAAATGCGACGATGACGTTGATTTTTGTCGCATCATACCTTGTCTCCCATTTATATGCTAGAAAAAGAAACGACTGGTTTTTTTTTCAACTAACGTTTGTTTGTTAATTTCAACTTTGATCGAAAGAAAAAAATGACGAAAGGTACAAATTGTTGTGAAAATTGCAAGATTCAAAAAAGTGGATTTCTTCATCGTACGCACACCAGTATCGTGATCTTTCCTTTCCTGCACCCTCACCTACACACTGCTGTCGTCAGTTCTCTAAACAAAAGCAGGAGAACTTTAAAAATACGCACAGTAAAGGAAAATCGACTTTTCCTAGTAGAGAGTGAGGGTGGGTGTGGGTGAGACGAGCAACCATGACGCGTTTCGATCTTGCTAAAAACCTCATCAGATGGGTTTACGTTCGCATTCATTTCAAATGGTTCAAAGATTACAAAGAAAATAAAAGTTATATCGGACTGATTACAACCGCATCTTCCATGTGCCATCGTTTCACGGCGTGTGTTCCGGTGTCAGGCACGTAGAGAAATCCACAATTATCCATGATCAAACCATGATAGTCAATATTTTCGATGATTGTTTTTGGGCTTGCATCACTGCGGCAAAACCAATTGACAACCCGTGGGTTGCCCCAATCACAAACAATGAGATTTCCTTTCTTTTCGTCGACGATCACATCTTTGCGACTTCTCAATCGATTTCCAACGGCCATCAATTGCCCGATCGTTGCCCCGCATTTCCACTCCACAATACGATCATTCATAGCGTCAGCGACAAACACGCTTTGCTCATCATCGAGAGACAAACCGAGTGGCTAATCAAGTTGATTCAAACCAAGGCCTTACCCATTTCATTCAGCAACAGTAACCCCGTTTTCTAACCATTTGGCATCGAGATGAAGACGAATGCCTATTGAACAGAGTGATGTTACAATGAAACAAAAATCCGCAATAAAATTATGTTGAATTTCGATCAATTCTGATGAACATGGATGTGATCAGTCGGCAATGTTAGTCGGTGTTGTTACTGTGATGGCCATCGGTTTTTGTAACCGCGGCTTGAGTAAGAGAAACCGCGATTTGAGTCTGAGAAGCCGCGGTGTGGCCTCACTCTGATAGCCATCGTTTTCATAACCGCGATTTGAGTCAGAGAAGTCGCCGTGTGGTTTCACTCTGATGGCCATCGTTTTCTAGATCCTCTTTTTGAGTCAGAGAAACCGCGGTTTGAGACTGAGATACCGCGGTGTGGCCTTACTTTGATCGCCATCGGTTTTTGTAACCGCGGTTTGAGTCTAAGAAACCGCGTTGTTAATTTACTCTGATGGCTATCGGCTTTTTAAAACCGAGGTTTGAGTAAGAGAAACGGCGGTTTGAATCTGAGAAACCGCGGTGTGGCGTTGTTATAGCTGTCGGTTTTATATCCTCGGTTCGAGTAAGAGCAAGAGCGGCGTGGCGTTACTCTGATGACCATCGGTTATTACAACCGCAGTTTGAGTCAGAGAAGCAGCGGTGTGGCGTTACTGTGATAGCGGTTGGTTTCTATATCCTCGGTTTGAGTCATAGAAACCCCAGTTTGAGTCTGAGAAACCGCGTTGTTACGTTACTCTGTTGACCATCGGCTTTTAAAACTGCGGTTTGAGTAAGAGAAACTGTGGTGCAGCGTTACTTTGATGGCCATCGCTTTTTATAACCGCGGTTTGAGTCAGAGAAGCCGCGGTGTGTATATACTGTTAATACGAATGTAAATGATTTAGAATCATTTTTTCATCTCTTCTCTTACTCAATAAATGTTATAACAAATCTGCGTATAGTAATTATTTATCACTAAAAAAATGACAATGATGTTTTAATACATCTATACATGAACAACATTAGTTGATTTCAAGATGATAAACTATACATACGGTTATAGAGAGAAAATATGTAATATGTATATAAATGAATGCATTACAAAAGAATACGAGTGAACAACAAGAATAATAACAGCATTTTTCATCTACTTTCAATAGAGATTAGTAGTTAGGAAATTAAACTAATTGTGTATGTCAATAAACAGAGAAAAAAAAATGTTTGATAAGTTTTAGATTATAGTATCTCTCTTTCTCTCTTTATATATATATATATATATATTGAACAACTCTAAAAACAGAAAACTTATCGCTATGGCGCAGTTCGTTTCTCCGTTACGGTGTTCAGTAAATATACTATCTTTACGTGAACAAATTAGTTCTTAAAGTAACTTTTTCGTACAAATAGTTACATACCTTGTAGTTCATTTTTTCTAAAAGTAATCTTAACAAGGAAATTCTAACAACGTTCAACACAAGAAAGAGTTATTATTCTTATAATAATAAGCAAAAGGTAAAATAATGGAAAAAAAGTCCACACATAAATTTTCTTGTCCAGAAATTTGAAACTTATTCAAAAAAAAATAAAGCATCTTCTATTTCTTTTGTTAGCAAGAAAAAGAAAACGTCCTCTCTCCTATGAGCTTGTTGGCATTTGAAGGATATTTAAAAAAAAATAGGATATCCTCTATTTAAATTAATAATATGTCAGTTAGAGAGAGATATAACACACGCAATACGATATTCAATGATGCTAATTTTCTTGTTTTTCTAGTACTTCTTTAAAAAATGTAATGAAAAAAGAAAAATAGAAATAACATAAGCAAACTCTATTCTTCAACTTCTTAAGAAATGTAATTAAACTTAATTAATAATGTATACTAAATATGTTCAATGTACGTGTGCAGTTCTACATTTGTTGTGTTTTGTCAATACTGTGATTCACACCTGTCCAATACGCTCCATCAATAATAGTCCGTACTTCACGTATGTCCATGATGTGAAAAAGGATTCAGATGTTTTTTACTTTTTTACTATTTTGTAAATTTACGTGCTCGTCTTTTTTTCATATTTAATAGAATTATGAATATATCGAAGAAAAAGTTTGATAGTATATCAACAGTTATAGATATGCACTTATTCGAAAAAGTAAAACATGTTAGATGAAAGCCGCTCTATTTTTTTTATCGCGTACTTTAAGCATGATACTTAAGATAATAGAGTGATACCGCAACGAGTAAAACTTACCGATATCGTTCTTTCTTTCTTTCTCTCACATACACAACATTACTACCATTCATGTATACATTCAGTACCCTAGACAAAATCCTATGCACTTCTTGTCTGTTTCCTACCAGGATCCTATTATGATCGATGTAGGATCCTAATAATTTTCTGACAGGATCTGAGATGTTAGGCTCCTACCAGGAATCTCAGATCCTAACATTTAGGATGCTGCTACGATTTTGTTTCTTAATGAATACGGGTGGTTAATCTCAGGTTAAAGTAATAAATGTACCCGCGCCATTTTTAAATGCTTTAGAGTTACAAAGAAATATTTAGTAACTGTTGGTCAAATAATGAGAACGGATGGAGAAATTTCACGAGAGATAGGAACATATAACCAATCCTATGAAATTCCTGTTCAAGAATTATCTTTTCCTACTAAAATCCTAAATAATTCCTGCTACATTATGATTCAGTCATCGCATTTTCTTGCTAGGATCCTAACAGAATCCTGGCAAATCCTGCAACTTTCCGGTATACCTGATTTCTTTAGGATTCTGTAAGATTTTCCTAGGATCTTACCAAAAAGCCACCTAAATCCTGGCAGGATCCTGGCCAGATTTCTCCAGGATCCTGTCAAGCAATGTATAGGTTTCTGACTAGGGTATATCTTCTCTCTCTTTTTCTAACTATATTATAATGAAGCTTGGAAGAGAGCTGCACGTACATACCTCATTTCGCTATGATGACAGAGCATACAGAGATTTTAGTTAATGGTGACATCCTTGGCGAGGAAACTGATGCAACTTTTTTTTTTCTTTTTCTCTTTTGTCATTCTCACATTTACTTTGTTGTGTGTGTGAGTAGTAGTTGAGTAAGTGAGGTTAGACTCGTCATGGAGCATGTATATTGTCTGCTTATCGTGAGAAAGGAAGAAAAAAAGGACATAAAATGGTATAATAAACCTGGGACCTATACTTTATCATACACACAAAACGACGTAACTTAACGTCTACATAAACAAGTTTTACAAGGTTTTCTTCTATACGAGATATATACACACACACGCAAGCTGACGTGAACTCTCTATATTTGAAATAGATGTGAATAAAAAAATGTGCTACCTGCCTCATCATAATTTCAAAGTTTGTTCAATAATAATACTTAAATAATCGAATAATCACAAATTATTAGTTCTTAACCTGAAAGTCCACATAAAAAGACTCGTCTTTATGTCCGCAACAGACTTATGAGAAATTTTTCAAAAAAAAAAATATTTATGATGCTGTACGAAATTGTCTCATTAGATTTTTAAAGACAAATTTCTCATTCATTTTTCAATTGACTCTCGCTTAAAACGGAAGTGTTCCTACGGAAGATGACACTGTCCTATAGCACTAAAATCGTGCAATTTTTCATAGTTAGTTTCATTCCATTCTACAACTGCAATCGATTTATACCTTTTACTAAGAAGTAAGTAAGTATACAAATAGTTAACATTTGTAAAAAATTTCTTCTAGATGTCTGTGAAATTACTTTTGGGGTTGCTTATTAATAATGAGACACACAAAATATTTTCAGATTGATAGGAAGAAAGGATGACAGACGACAAATATACTAAACACATCCGTCAACCAAAAAATTATTACTAATAGAAGAG